CCCAAGACTCGGTATGTTGACCCCACCAATCCAACCCAATTGAACAGTTCCAACTCCAATCCTTCAAGCCAGCCGCCACCGTGAAACGTGAACAACAAACCATCCACCGAACCTCTCGCACTGTTTTTTTTTTTGAGCGGTTTTATCCACACAAAGATTCAGAAACTAACCCATCCATCACCAGAAACACTTGATCCGCTAGCCCATTGAGTGAACCAATCAACTGAACCTATCTCCTGAGGCTTCCAACCCAGTGACTGAAGTCTCCTTGGGCTTCAAGGTGGTGGAGACACCTGGAAAGCGAAAAGCCCGTTTTCCAGCCCATCTCAGGATGTCGGACTGGATTTTGCACTGGAAGATTCCAAGAATGATTGAAAGGAACAATCATTATTAAGCAGCATATATGCAATAGGCTATTGCCAACAGCAAGCATCTGCAAGCCCCCTTTGCACGTTCAGTTAGAAAAAAAGGTGGAAGGTGCCAAGGAATCCACCATCATTAGAGTGCTTGTGGAATTTTCTCTTGGGCTCCATCATTTTGAATGATCCACCCGGTCCTGGCCGCTATTGATGTGAGGCAAACATCTGCCATCTCTATCTACTTCGATGCTTTAACTCCATGGTTGCAAAAGAACCGCTTTATCAAACATCTCACATGCTGCACTAGCTCTCTTGAGTACCAAGTTACCTGAATCTGCACTGGGATCCCAAATCTCCACCTTGGGCAAGTCCGACTCCTGGCACAACCCAACTGTGGCGAATCAATTCTCTTGGCAAGCCTGGTCCAGCACGTCAAATGAAAGTTCACGCCTCTTTGTAAATACTGTTTTAAGCCTACTGGAGGAAACCCGCAGGTGTAGTTGTAATATTGTTGGACCATTCAGAATTTTCATTGTCGCAACGTTGTCATCAACTTCACAACATTGTCATCGGATGACAACATAGTTAAATTGGGTCGCAGGACGGGTGGGGGGTGGGGCAGCACGTATCATCGATTTCATAGCAATGTCATCGGTTTCACAACATCGTCATCGGCTTCATAGCATTGTCGTCGGCGTCAAAGCATGACTCCCTGGCCGCACTCACAGCGCGCACGCTGCACATCATGTTTTAAAGAATAGTAGAGGCTGTAACGATGGTTATTTTTTTAACAAAAAATATATATATATATACACATTATTTTAAGGAGTCTGACACATGGTTTCCATTGCAAATCACGCATGAACTGTAAACCCCCTTAGAATTTACAATTTACAATCATTACGCAGTCTTCGAAACAACAAAACTATGGAAAACACAACATTTCAGTCAGATAGACAATGCTGCGAACGTGCAACACGCGCGTTCGGAAAACCGGGATGTTTAACCCGCATGCACTTCATGTGAACCGATGAGACAGAAACACCAACGCAAGAAACTAGTGGCCCAACCCCGCCCAGTGTCTGGTATGAGTATATGCTTCGGATTTCAGCAAAATTTGTCTGTTCTCTTCCCTTGTAGTGGGCAAACAAACGACTCTTACCATACAACTATCTTCGAAAGGACATTCTGAACGATACTGCGCCTGTGAAATCTTGCGAAATGAGGCATGAATTGTGCATGTTTTCTGTGCAGCAACGGGCTCTAGTGCTCCTCTGTCCCCGGTACGCTGGCAACCTCAGGCAATTCATAACAATTCTTCAAGTGTGATGGTGGGCATACAGTGGCTTTTGAGGAAAGCATCTGGAGACGAATTCTCCGACTCAAGCTTGCCTTTAGAGTGCGGAAGTGAGATCGTGCGTGTCGAGTGCACGAAATGCAGGCGAGAGTGCGATTTGTCTCTGTCCGTCGCAACCCTCTGCGGAGATCGGCGGGCAACCCTCTGCGGGGATCGTGCGTGTCGAGTGCACGAAATGCAGGCGAGAGTGCGATTTGTCCCGGTCCGGGACAACCCTCTGCGGGGATCGTGCGTGTCGAGTGCGCGAAATGCAGGCGAGAGTCGAGAGTGCGATTTGGTTTTGTCGCGGGCAACCCTCTGCGGAGATCGTGCGTGTCGTTAAACCGCCCGCACCGAAGGTGCTGAGGCGTCGTGTAGGCTTCGCGCAAGCCACAAGATAGCCAGCATTTCTATTCATTTGTCTCCCAGTCCTTTGCATCTGTCTCTCAGCTCTAGACTGCTGTATCCGCCTCCCTCTGCCTTGCAATCCTTTACATTTGTCCTTGCATTTGTCTCCCTGCTCTAGACTCCGCCTCTCTGCCTTGCAATCCTTTGTTTGTCTCTCAGCTCTGGGCTGCATGTCGCTTGCAATCCTTTACATGTGTCTGCCTGCGTCTGCATTTGTCTCCCAGCTCTGGACTGCTGTGTCCGCCTCTGCCTCGCAACCCTTTGTCTCCCAGCTCTGGACGTCGCAAGCTCTAGTTGCAGAGTGCTCCGACTGTGAAAACACAAACTGTTTGGGGCCTATGGTGATATATTTTGAAGATATGGCTTCGGAAGTAAACGTTCGCGATGCCGGCTTTGCAGCCCGGGGGGAGACTGCACTATTGACATCGTGGGTGTGTTCGTCCGTGTGTCCTGCCCGAAAGAGACAGACCGATACAGACATACCAAGACAGACAGACTGAGACAGACAGACAGACCGAGACAGACAGACCGAGACAGACAGACAGACAGACCGAGACAAACAGACCCAGACAGACAGACCGAGACAAACAAACCGAGACAGACAAACCGAGACAAACCATTGACATCTTGCGTGTGTTCGTCCGTGTGTCCTGCCCGACCGAGACAGGCAGACCGACAACCCGACAGACCGAGACAAACATACCGAGACAGACCGGCTCCGACAGCACAAGTTGCTGCTTCCCACACCAGTAACCAGTCCGTATCCTCGTGGTGCTACTGATACATCATCCATTTAATCTGTGCGGGCGGCTTCTACCGCGAAGCGGTGAAAATAAGCACAAAACAAAGGCATGTTTTTCTCCTGGCACGACTGGAACATGCCATTTTCCTGGGACCGGCAACCGTCAAGCACACCCACCAACACTTCTAGTGTACATATTTGTTTGGATCAGCATGTGGCTACATGTTCACTGTGTGATTCCACTAGCAACTGAATGCTTCTGGTATGATGGTATGATTATGATTGGTGAACATTGGTGGATGTTGGTGCAACCTACTAACACTCTAAGATCCTGCGGATGAATCAAGATGTTGTTATTCTGCGCCTCAATGCTCCTTCTGAGTGGTGGACAACAGAAGAGGCAGGCAAAGGCCGGGTTGCTCCTTCTGTACGAACCTGTGAACAAAACGCGAAAGCTGCACCACCAAACAGCAAGTTCACGCAACTCTGGACCAATACGTTGTTTCACTCCCGTTGAAAGGTGATGACCTCACCTGTCGCTTGTGTACTATCTAGAATATGGGAATCTACAAGTTGAGTTACGTTGCGCCTTGCAAAATCGTTTAAACATTATCTACAGGGGGACTCTCCCTTGAGCTGTTCTTGGCAGTGTGGCCGATGTAGATGCCTCTCCCTCATCCTCGCCCTCAGCGCACTTGAATCACTGGGAACTGGAAGGCTCAAAGTGTGGATTCCCGCATTACATTGGCAATTGGCACTTTTCATGTTCTAGCATCCAAACTTTTATCGCTACAACCTGTCAGCATCCATACAGGTGGATTCAGAAAAATGTTCTTCCAATTGAGCCGCGCTCTCCATCATTGGCTTATGGCTTATGGTCAGACTTCCTGTTCTTACTATAGTCATGGATAGTGAGCGCCCCGAACCCAAGGTGAGCATGACAGCTGCGTACGTCTTTCTAGATCAGAACATCTGGATCACTTGCTGAAGTGAAAACCTAATCAGAAATCAGAATCATGAGAAGCTCAACTCGGATAGCTCCGACATCTGAGGTCAAGGCAGCAACAGCTCCGGACACCATCCCAACTTGCGACTCTTGTGGTACAAGGCCACTTCCTTCCACATGCACCTGATGGTAGCAATGGCAAAATGCTGCAAAGCTGAATTGAAACCTGGAGTCACGGGTCACGGGTGTTCATGGGGATTGATGTGGATCGATTATATTTAATGTCCTCCACAGCAATTAAAGAATCATTTATGAGGTCAACGAGATTCGAGGCAAGGGGTGCAAAAAGTCTGCCTCTGCTTCATCCTCATCCTTGCCAACCTGGCAAGGTGTGTGACCGTGGCTTTTCTATTCATTGCTAGCTTCGACAAACGTCTCGCTCATTTGAGGAACACCACGACCACAACCAAAGAAACTGTTGATCGCTGGCATTGCGGCAAACCCGTTTTTGTGCCCACCCTTCCTGTTTTTGTTTCATCGCACCTGCACTTCTCCAGGTGCGCTGCTCTCCACCCTCACCTGGCATTAAAAGCGCCAATATTATTCAAATGATGTCAAAACGTAGTCTCACTTGACAAGTGGAGCAACCCCCCTGGACTCCCTGAACACATCCTTTTTGGTGGTTGAGGTTTGAACTTGACTTGGCAAAGTTGAACAAAGGTTCTCTGCATGACTTCAGCCACATCAGTTGCTCCAAACTCCAATTCACCCTGTACCGAATGAATAGGTCATGCACCCGATGCCCTTTGGAGCATCACTTGTTCCTACTAGCTGCTTGCTCCTAGTAGTACGGCCAGGAGCCCCTAGTAGCGTCCTTGCTCCTAGTAGCGATGCCAGGAGCCCCTAGTAGCGAACATTGTTCCTAGGACCTGTTTACAGTTCAACTGGGCAATCAAAGAATGATCTGTGATGGTCTGTCATCGTCTGTCCACTGCAAGCACCAAGCGTCGTGGCCTCGCCCTCAGCCTTGGCCTGTGTTGGCGGGCTGCATGATGTTTAAAATTGTTTAAATCTTATTGACCATGATACAATGACAAGTCACTACTCTTTGCGGTACAATACAATCCTAGCAACACAATAGGGATCCAAATGTATCCACATGTACCAAATTCCGCATCGGTCGGCCACTTTTTCAGCACCATTTTTCTTCTATTGCCCACCGGCCGATGCTGTGCCCGGAGGGGCATCTGCCGGGGCAGCCGCAGGGGCTGGCGCCTGTCGAATGTCTTGGTTTCTCAAACAAACTCAGCAGTTGCACAAGGAAAACAAGACTGCAGTAATTGGGCTGAAATCGATCGTTCAATACTAGCTTTTGCTTGGCAGGGTGTTGGACAGGGATGCGTCCAGGCTTGCTCGCTGCTCTGGATTAGGAATCTTCATGATGCCGCATGGGTGGAAAGTGGTGGAAACAGGGAGCTTTGAATCATGGTTTAGACTCTAATTGTTTTGACTCCAAAAGGAAACTATCACCAAGGCGAGGTTTGGACCACTGCCACATCGGTGGTCCCAAGACCAGAACTGGCACCTCGGCTGTGGCTTCACCTGCAGGACTGTGGGCTGCAGGCAATAGCAAGTCAAACGTTCATGGCCGTTCTCCTTCCTAAGTAAATACCTTGCCACTCTTGTCTCAGCAACGGACGAAAGCATAATCAGACTTATCCCCACCAAACACATCAAAAAACTGCGGCTTGGTCACACTGTCAAGAGCATTGGTTCCAATCTTTACCAGTCGTTCGATATGTGGATCCTTTCTCAGGTAAACATGGTGAAATCCCCACCTGCAGGAGCCTCTACAGGCGCTTCCACTCCGGCTTCGCCCTCGGCACCCTCGGCACCCTCGGCCATGACCTCAGCTCCCTCTGCTTCACCTGCAAGGCAAAAAAAGGAACATTGTTCACCTCTACTAGGAGCAAGGACGGTACGAGTAACAAAGGGCATCGCTACTAGGAGCAAGGACGCTACTAGAGTAGCAAAGGGCATCGCTACTAGGAGCAAGGACGCTACTAAGCCGCTACTAGTAACAAATGGCATCGCTACTAGGAGCAAGGACGTTACTAGTAACAAAGGGCATCGCTACTATATAGGAGCAAGTCATTACTAGTAACAAAGGGCATCGCTACTATAGAGGAGCAAGTCACTACCAGTAACAAAGGGCATCGCTACTATATAGGAGCAAGGACGCTACTACTAACATAGGACATCGCTACTATAGAGGAGCAAGATACTACTAGTAACAAAGGGCATCGCTACTATACAGGAGCAAGGCACTACTAGTAACAAAGGGCATCGCTACTATATAGGAGCAAGGACGCTACTAGTAACAAAGGGCATCGGGGCATCACTACTAGGAGCAAGGACGCTACTAGTAACAAAGGGCATCGCTACTAGGAGCAA